CCTCCCTCAGAGCAACCACATCAGCATGGGTCTGGCTCTCTCCTCTATCACAACTGGGGCACCACAGAGCTGGTGGGGACATGGGTCAGGCAGCTGGGAGCCCTGGAGTTGGTGGGAGCCAGCTCTGGGCTCCTGGTGCCACAGCTGCCTGCTCTGGCACTGTGAGACCATCAGAGCTCAGCAGGACGCGTGTTTGTGGGCAGACAGCAGGGAAACGCTCTGCTGAACCTTCTACCCAGCCAGCAGGAAGGGAGGGAGAGTGTGAAGGGCCACCCCAGCCCTGCCAGTGGCTTAGGAAAGGGGATCTCTGGGCTTGGAATGTGAATTCTCCATCCCCATCTCCACACCGCCTGGGAAGCGGTATGGGATGAGTTTGCATCATCTCACAGCAGTAACAAACTTTTTATTCCACCCCTGGGTCACCGAGGGGACATCTCCCTGCCCAGAGGAAGGGCTGTGAACCCTTAGAGCTGTCCTGACACACAAATGTGCTGGCTGTAACACGTCTTTCCTTAGGGAAAGCTGGAGTGCACAAGGATTGGAGCTTCCCCAGCAGTCCTGAGAGAGCAGGATGCTCTGCTGTGGAACTGGGCAGTTTTACAATGGGGTTAGTACAACCCTAAAGGACAGCAGCACAATTAATGCCAATCCCCATGGTCCAGCAGAAATAGCCTGTGTCAGGAAGTGGGAATGGCCTTTTATGAGATCACAGGTCCCGTTAATTGGAGTAACTGTGTTGATGTAACAGGCTGAGACTGGAAGGCATTTGATTCATCTTGCACCACCTTTTAATGAATAATTAGCACTCAACAAAATCAGTGCACCTTCTCCTAAGTGGATTAAAACTGGTCACCTGCTGGAACTAAAATGTGGGGAAGTCACCACTCTGTGGGCTTTCTGGTGAGCATCACATGCTTTTCAAAGCAAAACTGTGCCAGGAGGAGGAAAAAAGTACCTTCCTGGTACAGGCTGCAGAGACAGAAATGGGAGGAAGCAGAGATGGGAATAGGGACTGCCTGGTAAATCAGCATCATGCAGCCTACATCCTTGGCTACAAGGAAAATTTAAATCTGTGGATTGAGAAACAAATCACAGAGGACCACAGACCAGAATGTGGCACCTGGAAAGTGCTGGGCTTTGTAAATTATTGATTCCCCCCTGAGCCTCAGCAGCGTGACCTCCAGGGTCTGTAATCCCTGCTCCTGGGTCTTGCTTCAGCTCTGCTCCAGCACCTCTCATCCCCACTGTGCTTCCTCCACCCTGGCACCTCAGCTCTGCCACTCACCTCAGAGTTTCCCAGTGACATTCCCAGCTGAGCTGTGTGGGGCCAAAGCCTTTTCCATGCCCAGCCCAGGACAGCTGCTGTGTGAGCTCCCTGCAGCACAGCACGGCTCCTTCCCCATTCCTGTACCACCTCCCTCTCCGAACACGCTCCGTGTCCGTGTCCCGGGCAGTCAGGCTAACAGGGCTCTCATTGTCCACATCACTTTTTCCGTTCTCTGAGGCACAAGCTGTGCGTTTGCTCCTCTCCTGGTGCCCGACTGCTCGTTCTGCTCGCAGGCTTTGCTCCAGCCCTGCCTGCTGCCCTGGAAGGGGAGTACACCCCAGCATCCCAACCATCCTGCTGTCAGCTCCAGCCAGGGACAGTCTCCTGTTGGACCAGGGCTTGTGCCATTCTGGATGTGTTTGTGCCACTCTGGCTGTGCTGCCCTGGGCACAGATGCTCAGCAGAACTCCACTGTAAGGGTAAAGGGCTCTGGAGGACGGGCTGGCTGGAGCGAGCGCTGGGCGTGGGAGCCGGGAAGCAGCCCAGGTTCTTGCCACTGCCCAGGAAACCTCAGGAATGTCCCAGCCGGGTGTGCACGAGGCCCTGAGCCACATCTCAGCCTGCAGCACAGCTGGTGCTGGTGGTGGGGTGTCCAAGTCAAAATCCTGGGGCTCCCTCCAGTCCTCAATCTCAGCCCTGCGCTGCTGAGGGTGGCATGGGTGAGAGGATCCTTCAGGGCAGGGGAGCAGCAGGAACCATGGCACTGCTCATACTGCTCCCATGCCAGCCCACTGACTCTGCTTGTCCCAGTGGGTGACAGAGTCACCCTGACAGGGCCTACAGCCCTTATGGCCAGGCACTGTCCCCATCATTGCTCTGCATCTTACACAGGGGCTGCCCCTTCCAGAGGGGTCAGCTGTGCTGGTGGGGGTGCCCCGGGCCCAGGACTGCTCAAATCATGTGTGTCATTCAGCACACACTGGGCATACAGCAGGACATCATTCTGCCCCACCAAAATCCCAGTGAACAGCTAGCAGACCTCAGGAAGGGGCAGCTCCTGGTGAGGCAGGTCCTTGGGTAAGTCCGTGTGTTTGATCAGCACGGGGTATCCGTGCAGCACAGGGACAACATCCCAAGCCACAGCAGCAGGGAAGGGCCAGGCCACAGGGACGTGCTTGCTCAGCAGCAGCCTTGGACACACCCATGGGACATGGAGCATCCCAGGCACTGACAACTGGGAGGGCTCAGAGAACAGCAGCACAAGAGAGCGAGGACCTGGGAAACCCGCCAGTACAAGGGAGAGGAAGCTCGCTCTGTTTATCCTTCCTTGAGAAGGTTAAGGGGTGACACAGTCACTCTCTGTTGATGTCCCATGCCAGGACATCCCTGAGAGCATGGGGTCACGTCCGCAGCAGTTGGGGCAGGAGAAGGTCTGGTGAGTCCCATGGCTTCAGGGCTCCATCCCTCCCCTTCTCCCCAGGGCCCCATCACACACGGCCCAGTGCTGGCCCTTTCGCAATCCAGCCGCCTGGATGGGCCTGCTCTGCTTTTCCCACTTCCCGGCAGTGCTGGGAGCGCGTGAGCACCAAGCAGGGGAGCCCCGACATCCCCACCCTGCTCAGGAGGGGACCCAACATGGGTCAGAGCTCCGGGGTAAGCACCACCAAGGTCTGGAAGGGAGCAGGGTTCCACAAACTGGTCCCAGAAGCACCAGGAATCTGTATTCCCTGGCAGGATTGGTGTCACTCCCAAAACGACAACCTCCTGTGGCTGGGAGCTCACTGTCCCTTGCTGCCCGAAGGGAGGGTGCCTGCCCCTGCCACCCACCGTGTGCCCCCATTCCTGGCCAGGACAGGGACCCTGCTGCAGAATGGACACAGTGGCTCTGGGGGTGTCAGCAGGGACAAAACACTCTGTGGGGCTGGGGCAGCACCTCCCTTCCCCTGACAACTCCAGGTCCAGCCCCATTGGGCTACCTGATGTCTCCATGTCCTGCTGTCACCCCCTAAGCCAGGGCAGGTCACAGCACAGCTCCTTGCAGCTCCTACCCCCACTCAGCCTCCGGAGGACACAGCAGGGCCCTCAGCTCTGAGCTGCCCCCGGCTCGGGAGAGGCAGCCCTGGGAGGAACCAGCAGCCGGCAGGAGGGAAAGACCTCGGAGGAACGCACAAACATCAGCCATCCCCACGGGCTGAGGGGTGGGCAGCGGGGCTGTGGGGCTGCTGGTGGGGCTGCTGGTGTCCCAAGCACCCTGGAGCAGGGAACCAGCCTTCCCGGACCTGCTGGAGACGGGACCGGCTCAGCTGCGGGCTCCTCGGAGAGCAGCTGGGAAGGCAAAAAGCCAGCCCCGGAGAATCATCCCTTCCAGCGCCGCCAGCCCTCCCGCCCCACATCCCTCCATCCATCCTCTCTCTTCCATGAGCTACAGCAAGTCCGGTCCTCATGGAAACCCTGAGTCTCCACCGGCCTTTGGAACCCGCAGCTCGGCCCGCAGCCCGCACGCTTTGGGGTGCGCTACAGCCTCGAAACGGCACCCACAACCCTGCCGGGTCCGCCGGGTCCCGCTTCCCGTGGGACACCCGCGCTGCCCGCCCGGTCACGGTACCCGCGGGGCACGGCCCGCGGCAGCTCCTGCAGCACGGCAGCGCCCACGGGCACGGCACGGCCACGGCACGGCCACGCTCCGAACACCGGGGCTTTGGGGCGGCATCGCCGCACCCACCCCGCACCCGGGACACCCCCGAGGCGCCCCGGCCCCGCAAGGCGCCGCCGCTCCCGGGACAGCCGCTCCCGGGCCCGCGCGGTATCTCCGAGCCATGCCGAACCGAACCGAGCCGTGCCGAACCGAGCCGTGCTGTGCCGAGCCGAGCCGTACAGCGCCGTGCCGAGCTGTGCCGAACGCAGCCGAACCGCGCCGTGCCGAACCGAGCCGTACCAAGTTCTGCAGTGCCGTACCGAACTGAGCCGTGCCGAGCCGTGCAGTGCCGTATCGTATCCTGCCGTGCCGAGCCGAGCAATTTCGGTCCGTGCCGCCGCGCTCCGCCCCGGCCCGCCCCGCGCCGTGCCCGTGTCCATGTCCGGGGCCGCCCCGGTCCGCGCCGAGCGGCCCCGGCCCCGCCGCCGGGACGACCCGGACGGGCCCGCGCCCCCCGCCCGCCGCCCCGCCATGGGGCCGGCTCCAGCCCCCGCCCCGGCTGGGCTCGGCTCCAGGGCCGGCCTCGGCCCAGCCGGGACGGAGCCGATGGAGCTGCCAGGCGAGCCCTCACGGCCGGGGTTTGGGCCATCCCGACCCCTCCCAGCCCTCTCCTCACCCCGTGGCCGGGGCAGCCAGCTCCGAAGGGCAAGAGAGGGAAACAGCCGGGAATGGTTTGCCGTTTTCCAGAGGCTGCAGTGGGGTGGTTGGAGAGATTTCCCTCCCCGGTCATCCTGCCTGTCCTGGGCAGGCTGCGGCCCCCAGACCCCCCCCCGAGCCTGGGGGTCCCATCCCGCAGGAAAGTCCTGCAGGGCTGGGCAGCTCACACTGGAGCACCTTTCTGGAGCACAGAGTAGGGTGAAGCTGGGGAGCAGCAGGATTGTGTGGGGAGCTGCTTTTTTTTTGTGAGGGGACACAAGACCGACTGTAGCAACAGCCAGTGTGAGATGCGTGAGGGTGTGAGAGGGTGTGAGAGGGATGTGCTGGCAGCCCAACACTTTCCCCCAAGAAAGGAGCCATGGTGAGAGCCCAGCAAACGCTTTATTGCCAAGGACAGCGCTTCCCTCAGGCCCCAGGCACAAAAACAGAGGCTGCCTCACCGCATCCCATAGCAGATCAATCCATACTGACAAGCAAGGCACAAGAAGTGCCGAGAGCCAGCCCCAGCACCGGCTGCCCAGGCCACACAGGGGATGGAGAGAGCTGGACAGCCCAGCCTGCGTGACAGGGACACTCCTGTAGCACTAAGGCACCGTGCTGTGCTCCAGGATCACAAACCCAAACACTGCTCATGGGCTCCTGCAGGCCTGAGGGTCTGCAGACAGCCTGGCTCCCCAGAAAAGGTGGAGGGTACCCAGCAAACAGGAACAGTTGGGGTGGCACAGAGGTGGCCAAATCCTGTGAGCAGCAGAAATAGCTCTCTGCTACCCAGGTACCTCAGAGCCCTGCACACATCCCAGTGACATCCTGCTCGTCTCTGTGTCCCCTCTCATGGGTACCTGGCCTGCTCGAGGTGCCCCTCTGCTCCCGCTTGCTCAGGCCGATGCTGTGTGGGATGGGGGGTTCAGCCTGGCCTGGGGAACCAGCCTGTCCTGGGGCACTGCCTCCCTGTGCCCCATCAGAGGAGACGTCCCAGGAGCTGAGCGCCAGGAGAGCTGCCCCAGGCCACCGGCAGGGCGACAAAGCCCAGCTTGCTGTAGAAGCTCAGCTGCTGCCGGTCGGCATCACTGACCTGGCAGAACACTCCCCGTGACCCTGGAAAGGAGACGAGAGGTCACGGCACTGGGACCCCAGTGCTGGGACTGGGGGCGCAGTGCCAGGGACCCTCTCCATAAGGGGATCGGTCTCTCGCCTGCCCCTTTGTCACAGAGTGCCCCTGTGCTGCCCTGAGACAAAGGTCCACATGTCCCCCGGTGCAAGGGGAGGGGACAGTGCCCAGGAGCACTGTCAGACTGCACCGGGGAGGAGACAGCTCCCAGCTCTGGTGGGTGAGGGAGCACTTGGGATGGGGTTGTGCTGGATGAAGGGCCAGCACTCGGAGGTCATGCTCACCGTTGGCCCTGAGTGCGCTCAGCAGGCAGAGGGCCAGGCTGCGACTGGCCCCCACGTCCAGCACACGGGGGGCCGTGCCCAGCTGTACCAGGGAGGGGAAGCGCCTCAGCACAGGCTGGGGCACTGCCAGTGGCTCTGCGTGGAAGAAGAGCACTGCTTCCTCCAGGGCATCCTGTGGGAGACAAGCACAAGTGAGGGAGCCCCCTCCACCTCTCCCATTCCTGCTCCCCTCTGCTCCCCTCACCTGTCCCAGAGCTGGACTCTCTGTGCCCAGGTCTGGGGGGTACTTGTGCCGTATGGCTGGCAGCCAGCTGCTGTCCCGCTGCTGCAGGAAGCCTTCGGCGTGGAGGGCTCCGGCTGCATAGCCACAGGGGCCACCCTCATCCTCCAGCACAAAGGTGTACTCGGGGCTCAGGCTGAGGAAGCTGCCCAGGAGCCTGCCAGGCAGAGCGGGAGCATGGCTGAGCTGAGTCTGGAGCCCCTGGGAAACCTCAGAGCAGCCTCCTCCTTCATGCCCCAGCTGGACAACACCCAGCACCCACTGACCACCCCTTTGAGACCCCTCCCGTAGAAACCCTCAGCTGAGAGGAGCCATTGCAGCCTCCAGCATCCAGGCTGAGCATCCACAACGGTGGCTGCCGTGACCCTGCTGGACATCAGCATAGGGATGACCCTCCCTGCCCCTCCAGTGAGGCCACTGGCAGCCCTGGGGCAGCGCTGATCCCCACAGGAATGCCAGGAGAGGCCATCACCTCACTCCCCCAGTGTCCAGGCTCGGCACAGAGAGGCCAGAGGGAGCCTCAGAGGGGCCACATCTCACCTGTCACCGAGGAGATCCGGGTGGGCCACGAGGATCTCTGCCACTTTAGGATCACAGTCCAAACTCTCCCGGCACATGCGGTAAAGCTCTCCCTGGAAGACCCGGATCCATGTCAGCCCTGGCTGTGCCTGCTATGCCACAATGCCAGCCACCACCTTCTGCTGGCTTCGGGCTCATTGCCACAGCACAGCCAGCCTTCAAACCAGAAATTGCCATTCCGGTCAGGCATCCCGAGAGCAGCCGCTGCAGAGACGGCCCCGGGCCGGAGCACGCTCAGAGCAGCCAGAACGGCACCAAAAACAATACTGAAACTCAGGTCTCCAGAGAGCCTGAGCACAGCAGGACATCCTCAAATGTCCTGTCTTGGTCACAGTTGAGTTTGCTGCTGCAAGCATTCTGATAAAAGCCTTGCTCCTGAAAGGGGAGGCTGCCCTGATCACCCAACAACTGGGGCAGGACCATGCCCTGCTGTGCCTGTTCCTGCAACGCGCCGATGGGCTCAGCTGGCTTTTCCTCTCAGAGGTTCACTGGACACAGACGTTGTTGTTGTCAAGGTTCAGCCTGAGCAGATGAGCTGCACTCGTGTTTGTGGTGGATGGATTTGTGGTGTTGAGCAGGAGAGGAGCAGGGTGAGGGAGAGGAGTGCTTGCTGCAGGTACATGGGGAACCTGGGGCTCTGCTAGATTTGGCAGCACTTTAACTTGTGTGTCCCCCCACATCCCTTGTCCCTTTCCCCCACCGTCCCATCACGCTGCTGGGATGTCAGAGCAGGGGGCTGGCACCAAGCAGGATGCAGCTGACAGAAACTGCTGCTCTCCAGCAGGGAATCACCCTGTAAACAGGATGAGTGTTTGAAGAAAGCATTTGGAGATGGATCCCCACAGGCTCTGGCAGTGCCCAGAGCTGCAGACTGGTGAAGGCTGCAAGAGGCTGCCATCCACACTTGTCCTGTTCTGGATTTTTCTTGACATCTGCTCACAGCCAGTGCTGTAGATCAGCACTGGAGCTGCTCTGGAGATCATCCCCAACCTGGCATCCCTGCCCTGGTGCTGGTTTATCCATGGCTGAGGGGGCTCCCTCTCCTGCTCTGCCCAGCCTGTCACAGAGAGGTGGGTTTGCTGAGGCCACAGCATTCTCCAGGCCAGGGTCTGACACGCTGCTGACCACAGCCCCAAGAGCTGTCCCAGACCAGCTGGCTCTGAGCAGATCTGGACCCAAGGACCCTCCCCATCTGTGTCACCCCACACTGGGAACTCAGCCTGGGGTCAGCAGCAGATGAATCATTTTATGGGCAGCACAAGCCATGCAAAGGCTCTGGCAGGACACCCCTCCATGCCATGGCACTCACCTTGTCCAGAGGCAGCAGTGGGCGCAGCAGGTACAGCTGGCTGGATGGGAAGAGCGGGGGTGGATGGTAAAAGAGGTCACAGCTGTTCCCCACGGGCAGCAGTGCCTGGAAGAGATACAGTCCATCAGTTTGTCCTGGCTCCAAACCTTGTCCTGGAGGCAGCAGGAGAATAACTCTGAGACTCCTGAAGCCCCAGGAACCACAGCTGAGCTGGAGAGACCCAGGGCAGCTCTGCCTTGCCAAGTTTGCAGCAGCTCAACAGCAGGGTTGGGATTCTGGCTTCCCAATGTCTCCTTCAGCCCCAGAGCCCCCCACACTCTCACCTGCAGCTCTCCAAAGAGACCCCCGCGACGCGCCCAGGGCTCGGTGTCCCTCCCCGGCAGGATGGGGGCAGTGATACTCTGGCACCCTGGAAGCAGCAGGACACAGACACATGTGAGGTGAACAAAAGCCTGCTTGCCAAGGGGAGATCAGCCTCTGCCACGCAGATCCCTGCTGTCACAGCTCCAAGGACCTGTCCCCCAGCTGTGGAGCCCAGGGTGGTGAGAATGTGCCCTGCACGCTGCTTCCCTAGGGAAGGGGCTCAAGGCACACGGCTCCCTCTCACACTGAGCTGGGACACCCGCTCAGGTCATCACCTGGTGACAGCTTTTGGTTTGTAAGAGGTCATAAGGCCCACAGAGCAACCAGGGAGCCCTAAACCAGAGGAAAACTGTGCAAAGTGATGTACAGGCATTCAAAAAGCAGCCCCACCTGTCACCCAGGGCATTACTGCTTCCAGAATCCTTTTTCCACACAAGCTAAGGGGTACTTGGGATGAAAAGGCTGAGGAACCATATCCTAGAAATGGCTGTGAGATATGGTGAAGATCTGCTCCAATGACTGCCCTATCCCCAGCAGCAATGCCTCATCCTGCCCCAGTGTCATTCCCAGGGCAATACCTGCTCCACTCGGCAGGCAGAGTGTGGGGATGGGCAGCCTGATGGTGAATGCTGGCTGCTGCTGTGGGGCTGGAGGTGATGGGGGGCAGCAGCCAGACCCCCCACCCAGGTGGGTGAGCCGGGGCAGCGCCTGTACTTACAGCCAAAGCAGTTCCCCCAGGTGCCCTTGGGGTCAGGGTCGCAGAGGAGGTGACCATCTGCAAAGGAGACGAGAGGGTGAGCACAGGACACAGGTCAGCAGCAGAAAAGGTGTCAGGGGGAGGTGAACTCCCAGGAGGGACCCTGGCACTACCAGCTGGACACTGGAACCCCAGACCTCTGGGGTGGCTCCCAGACACCTTCACCTCCTTCGTGGGGAAGCAGTGGAAGCCCGGAGAACACGCATGGTGTGCCCAGTGCCGCAGGGTCCTGGCACTCCAGCACGGGTTTAGATGGGTGTGATGGGGGCTGCCAGGGGCTGTCAGGGCTGGCACCAACCACGTACCCAGCCAGAGGATGAAGGCACTGGCGGCCAGCAGCATGTTGCGGATGTCCCAGAGGTAGGGGTGAAGGTCATAGAGCAGCGCCCGGCCGGCGGTGCTGACGAAGCGGCTGTGCAGGCGGCACGTCCTCGCGCAGAGCAGCTGGAAGGACTGAGCCCGGCCTCGCCACCGTGTGCCCTGGGGACACACTGGGGGTGTCAGCCACCTGGGGGACACGAGCCACAGCAGCCACCTTCCTTCAGCAGCACCATGACCAGTCTTACCCCGCAGGCATCAGGCGCTGTGGCCGGGACCCCCACGCTGAGGCTGTTAGCCCGCAGCCACCGAAAGTGCTCCAGGAGCTCCTGTGCCAGAGCCCCGTGGTGGTAGGGCAGGTAGAAGAGCTCCACCAGCATCCGCACCTCCTCCAGGGTCAGTGGTGCTGTAGGGCTGGACACGGCCTCCTCTGGGGTCAGTGGTGCTGTGGGGTTGGATCTGGCCTCCTTTGGGGTCATCAGTGCCATAAGGCCAGACTCAGCCTCCTCTGGGGTCACCGGTGCCATGAGGCTGGTCCTGGCCTCCTCTGGGGTCACCTGTGCTGTGGGGCTGGTGCTGGCATCCTTGGGGGTCATGGGGCCAGACCCAGCCTCCGCTGGGGTCACTGGTGCCATGGGGCTGGTCCTGGCCTCCTCTGGGATCATCTGTGCTGTGGGGCTGGTCCTGGCATCTTTGGGGGTCATGGTGCCAGATCCAGCCTCCTCTGGCGTCACTGTTGCCATGGGGCTGGTCCTGGGCTCCTCGGGGGTCACCTGTGCTGTGGGGCTTGTCGTGGCATCTTTGGGGGTCATGGGTTGAGACCCAGCCTCCTCTGGGGTCACTGGTGCCATGGGGCTGGTTCTGGGCTCCTCGGGGGTCACCTGTGCTGTGGGGCTGGTTGTGGCCTCCTCTGGGGTCATTGGTGCCATGGGACCAGGGCTGGCACCAGCCTCATCAGTCAGTGGGGCTGGGGCACCAGGGCTGGCACCAGCCCCAGGTCCTGGGGGTATCTGGGGCACATCAGTCCCGATGGCCTCAGGCTGGGTGCTGCTGGGAGACTGGACAGGGCTGCCATTCCCTGTCCTGGCATCACTGGTGGGCAAGGAAATGTTCTGACTGGTGTTGTTCCCATTGCTGGAGCTCGTGATGGGGCTTGGGCTGGGGAGGCTCTTGGTGGCCGCTGGGATTCCCTCGGACTGGGCACTCCCAGCCACACTGGGCAGAGCAGAGGACGGCTCAGAGCTCTCCCTGCTCCCTGTGGTGAGCTGCTCCCCAGCCCTTGTAGGGCTCTGCTGATGGCCAGGGGGTGTCCTGTTCCCACTGTCCTTCTCAGGCTCCGAGGTCACCTCCCTGCACCCCTCCTCTGGTGCCACTCGGCAGGGCTCAGGGCTGTGCTGATCTGCCCCACCAGGAGCAGAGCTGTGGGGCTGAGGGTGGGGAGTGACCTCCTGTCCTCCCGCCGTGCCAGGCTGCAGCCTTGGTCCTCCCTTGAGGCTGACACTGGGGTGTCCTGGGGTCCTTCCTCCTGACAGAAAGGAACAAGAGGGAAGCTCCTTTGGCATCCACATGGGAAATACTGACCATGGGGCAGGACAGTGCAGGGGACCTCCATCCCTGAGCTGCCAGGGGATGAGCTGCCAGCACCCTGGGCTCGAGTTCAGACCCCCAGGGCTGGTGAGGCTGTGACTTTGCAGAGGCAAACACTATGAAACACCAAGCTCACCCCTGGCTGACCTCTTCTTCCAGAGCTGGCCCAGGCTCCGGTTCTGCCAGCCAAGGAAACCCTCTCCAGGATGCGGCCATGGCAGGAGCACCCATGGGGCAGCACAGCAGGATGGACACCCACACCTGCCCACCGTGGCATGCACAACCCTGCTGCCCCAGAGACCCTCCAGATGGGCAGGGCTGGGGCTCCCTCACCCCCACCCACTCCTGACAGAGCTGATCCAGCACTCCAGGGATTGAGGGATGCTGCACCCATTGTCTACCTGGTTCCAAGGCCTGCTGGTTTATCTCGGCCACCCAGTCACGCAGCGCCAGTTCCAAGGCTTCCTGGGGGCTGTAGCTTCCATCCTGAGCATCTCGGTTGTCCCCCAGGGCTGCCGCCACCTCTGTTCCTGAGGAACTGCAGCTCATCAGCCTGGGCAGCCCTGGTTCCATACAGGAAAGCTGCAGGGCTGGGTGAGGATGAGCAGCCATGGGCAGGCACGGAGCTGCCAAGGCACGGGGGCCAGGTACCTGCAGGGTCAGGGTGGGCACAGCTCCCCAGCTCGCTCCGAAACCAAGTGCCCAGTGTGTGGATGGGGATGAAGTTGGCCTGGAGCTCACAGTTGGGGTTGAGGAGCAGCCCGTGGAGCCTGGACATGAGGCCAGGAGCACGGCCCATGTAGGGGCCCAGGAAGACACGTCTGCAGTCATAATCGTTGGCGTAGAGGTTGTCCCAGATGACGGGGGGACGCTTCAGGACAGCCTCCACCTCCTCCAGCAGCACTGCTGAGAGCTCCTGTGACACCACCTTCGGGCCTGGGGCACCAGGGCAGGGACACATGTGGGGCACAGGGTCCATCACAGACACACAGCAGGGACACGGACACGGCAGGGAGGTTCCAGTCACCACACCCACACTCCCAAGTCAGGAGAGCAGACCCCCAACTCAAACTCCTGCCTGGCTGGGGCTGCACACCCCAATGTGAGGCACCACAGCTGGTGGCTCTCCCAGGACAGCCCGTGGCCACAGGGTTTGCAGCCACTGCCCGTGGCCACACACCCAGAGCTGGTCCTGGAGCTCACCTGTCCAGATGACACCGATCCCTGGGAGCAGCTCCTGGCCGATGGTCTGCAGGTAGCAGGACTGGCTGGGGCTGGGAGAGCAGAGCGAGCTGCAATATTCTGGGGAGAGAGCACAGAGCATCCCCTGAGAGCTGGGGACCAGGAGAGGAGGGGCTGCCGGGATCATGGACAGGGACCCTGCTGCAGTCTAGTCCTGAGACGTCCAGAGCTCCCCTGGGAGCATGAGGAGTCTGGGGAGAGCTGTGGGGGCTGCCAGGGCACTCAGCTCTCAGCAGGGACAGGGGTTGGGTGCAGCCAAAGGGCACCCCAGTTTGAGGGGGCTCCCTGGTTCGGGTGGCTGGGGCTGCAGGGCTGCAGGGCTGCAGGGCTGCAGGGCTGTGAGGCTGCAGGGCTGCAGGGCTGCAGGCAGTACCTGTAGGGCAGAAGAGGAAGACGGAGGGTTGGCCCAGCTCCTGGTACACCTCGTTGGCCACAGAGGCCTGAGCCTGTGCCAGGGAGGGGAAGACATCTCTGTCAGCTTGGCACATGCAGGGGTCGATGTCGTCAAAGAGCAGCGCGAAGGAGCGGCACCCCATGGCAGCCACCTGTGGGCACAGACAGGGGCTGCTGGGATCCCCGGGCAGCAGAGAGCCCCACGGGGCTGGAGAGGGGCATCTGGGCACAGCACAGCATGGGGCAGCTCCTGCCCGAGCTGTGCCCACGGAGCAACCCCACCCTGCCAGTGGCTCTCTGCAATCCCTGGGGACCCAGGGCTCTGCTCCAGCCTGTGCCAGCCCTCAGTGCTGCCCAGCAGGTTCTGGGGCTTGGCTGGTCCTTCTCCTGCCCTCACTCAGGCATCCATGGAGCCCTCAGCTCTCTGTCACCATGGCAGGGTGACATAAACACGTGTGCCCCTTGTCTGGGAGCAGTGGGATGAAGGAATGGCCCACGGTACCTGCCTGAGTTTTTGCTGCAGCAGGAGCCGATCCCCAGCGCTGGAAAACACCATGTCCTGGCCAGCAGAAATGGCAAAAATAAACTCCACACCCTGCTCGTGGGCAGCTTCGATGAGAGACCGCATGCGGGCTGGGGACAGAGCACAGGGGGTCTGTGAGAGCTGGGAGGTACAGGAGGGAGCAGGGCAAGGGATGGAGCGGGCAAGGGATGGAGCGGGCAAGGGATGGAGTGGGACAAGGGATGGAGTGGGACAAGGGATGGAGTGGGACAAGGGATGGAGGGGACAAGGGATGGAGTGGGACAAGGGATGGAGTGGGACAAGGGATGGAGGGGAATAAGGGATGGAGCAGGACAAGATATGAAGGCAGACAGGGAATGGAGCAGGACAAGGGATGGAGCGGGACAAGGGGTGGAGGGAAATAAGGGATGGAGGGAAATAAGGGATAGAGGGGAACAAGGGATGGAGGGGGCAAGGGATGGAGCAGGACAAGATATGAAGGGGGGCGGGATGGAGCAAGAAGAAGGGTGGAGGGAGAGTGAACCCCAGGATTCTGAAAGGAAGGAGCTGAGGCCATTGGGAGGGGACAGGCTCCAGGAAGGCCATTTCCACTCCCTTAAGACACAGAGGACTTTTGACAAGGGTCTGTGGGCCTGGGTATATTCAAGCACCCAGATCCACATGGGGAGCTGGGTGGTGCTTTAGGCAATTCCATACGATGGGCACAGTTTGGGAGTCTTGCTGCCCTTGGCAAGGTCTGGGGGCCTCCATGCAACGGGCAGGGTCCTGGCAGGATGGAAATAGCTGGGACACGGCCCATGCTTTCCCTTCAGGGACCTGGGATGCCTGCAGCCCCCCGAGGGGCCCAGCAGAGCCGCTACCTGCCTCATGCTCTGTGTAGGGCTCTCTCCAGAGCAGCCGATGCTTCAGCTCATCCTTGGGCGCGTACATGTAGCAGTTCAGCCCCTGGCGTTGCAGCCTGTGCAGGGAGAGCAAGGAGTGACCCAGGCTCCACACGGGCTCTTTGCACGGCCACGTGGAGACAGAAATCTCAGCCAGTCCTCCCAGTGCTGAGCTCTAAGGTTTGTGTAGGATGTGCCCCCTGGGAAGGCAGACACCTCCCTCTTTTGGCACTTCTGTATGGAAAGCCATTTGATATATTCATTTGCTTCTATTTATCCTCCTCAGCACACAATGTTTTACATTTTCCCACGGTGAACAGGGTAGAAAGCACTTCAGGTAGCTCATGATAAAAGTCCCTTCTTTTGTTTCTTTCCAGATAAGAAAAATACCGATGGATATGTCACCCTCATGTGCCACCATGTGAACACATCCCAGTCCAGCACCAGACAAGGCTCTCATTAGACCTTCTCACTCCTCAGGTTCTTTAAAACATCACAGCTTGTTTTCCTTCCATTTTCTGTACCTGTATCTCTGGTCCCTGCACTTTGGTCCTGCCCACACTGTCACCACTGCACTGCCCACGGGAGGCCCTGCAGAGCCCCAGTTCACTGGTGGCAGGTCCTGTCGGTGCAGCTCATCCCACTGACAGCCTGTGCATGGGCAGCAGCTGCCTGGAGAGGAGCTGCACAGAGAACTCCCAGCCCAGGACAGATCCTGAGCACATCCTTTTGTCACAGGGACACAGGGTGACATGCATGGGGACTCACAGGGACACAGCAGGGCCACCCACACCGGGCAGGGATGGCAGCCTCAGGACACAGCAGCCACCTCAGTGCTCAGGGGGGAGGCTGGAATTGCCCGCCTGGTGTCCTGGCTTGCTGCTGATGGGGCTGCACCGCGATGTGCGGAGCCCCAGCACCACCTGCCGGCACCGGGCGGCCCCGCGTCCGTCCGTCCGTCCGTCCGTCTGTCCGTCCGTCCGTCCGTCTGTCCGTCCCGGCCCAGCGCTGATCCGCGAGAGCGCTGGGACAGGGGGACACTGCAGGGGCAGCCCTACAAGAAGCATGAGGCCCCTTGGCTGCCACCGCCCCTTCAGAGACGAAAATTCAGGGTACTTGCCATTGAAAGAGAAGTTTCCTCTGATCCATTGACCATGGTCTCCCATAGAAACCTGTAAATGGGAGGGGGAAAAAAGGCAAAACGCTGTTGTTGGAAAGTGCCTTAAAACAGTTTCTCCCTGGGCTATCCCTGGACGCAGAGATGCACTGCCAGACATGCAGAACCCATTCTGCTGCTGAGGCTGCTTTGAAGGGAGGGCCCTTCCTATTTCTGCTTGTAGGAAGATCTGGGAGGTGCAGAGCTGTCTGCAGAGCCAGGGATTGAGGATATCCAGAGGAACACAAACCCCTTCCCCTGGGAACAGGCTGATAAATGGGTTTGGAGAGATGCAGATTTGACAGCTCCTCAAAGTGGAGGTTAACAGCACAGACGTGAAATTTAGCAAGAGAAGAACCTTCAGCCACTTAAATTCTCAGCAAGATCTGGCAGCTGCAATGGGAATTCTCACAGAAAATCCATTCCATCTTGGACAGTGAGGCATCTTCCTGCTTTCTCTCTGCATCGTGGGCAACTTTTGAGTCAGCCACTGCTCCTTCCAGCAGTCAGGGCCAAGGGGAGCAGATACTTGGGAAGTGATGGCATTCCCAAAACTGGGCAGCGCACAGGGGCAGGCTGCACTGACTCCATTCAGCTGGGAGAGAGGAGCAGCTCTCCGTGTCTGGCATGAGGCCAGTGTCACGCAGGGAAGCACCTGAGTGTCCCACAGCTCATCTGCCCTCATTCCCTCGGCTCCCTTTGGCAGGAACCCACCCTGCATCCCCCAGCACCAGTCCTGGGCAGTGGTGAGGGGGGTTGCACCACAGCAACACCCACTCTCCATCTGTCTTCTCTCTGCAAACAGACTTTCTACCTGCCTGAACACCTACATGGTTATTCCATATACATTAAAATAAAATATAGTCACCTTGCTGTCCATCCCCCACTGTGCACTGGGCCAAATTTGTGGCCACTTGAGAATCCCAGCAAATATTTCGCCGAAAAAAAGCTATTTCTGTGGTAAATAATTTGCTATTTTGAGATCCCAGCGAGGTCCCCAGGGTCCCTATATGGCACCTGCAAGTGACACTTTGACAGCACATGTTGCTGTGAACTGATGTGGGCTGCCAAGGAGGCCACTCAGTCCTGCACATGCCCTGCCAGCAGTGTTCTCCTGGAATGGATTTGCCAGCATCATCCCTGTCCTCTTTCCCAGGTCAGCTCTACTATATCAGTGATTCTTGTCTGACTCATGCCAGCTTCTCCACCCCTGCATTTCCTGTTTGCTTTGCATTTATTTGCATGGTGCTCCTGCTTTCTCTCAGGTGAGGCAGTGGGCAGTGCCCCTCACGGAGTGGGGGGGCTGCCAGGAGAAGGGCAGATGATTTTGCCTGATGGGTGCCAAGCCTGGCTCAGCTCCAGAGTGATTTGGGGGATGTGGGGAGGGAGAAGCACAGAGCTCTCCCTGGCCAGCTCTGGGCACGGGTCCTGCACTGCTGCCCCATGGGCAGGGTGGGCAGGGGGGACACATCGGGAAGCTGCCCCTGAGAACCCCGTGTGGAGCTCTGGGGGCCGAGCAGAGGGTCACCGTGCCCTTCTGGGGGCTTTGGCTCTGCTGGGGTGCCTGCGGGGCTCAATGGGGAGAGCTGGGAGCACCCCATTGCTGCTGCTCCAGACCCCTGGCAGAGATGGGATGCTGTGCTGGGGCCCCACTCCCCCCTCCTCCACAACCTGGGGCCCTTCCCGACCCCGCTTCACTTCGGGTGGATCGGAAAACCCCTGCAATGCCCGGGAGGTATTGCCGGGCCCCGGAGGGACCTACCTTCCACCACGCCGCAGAGGAAGCGCGGCCGCTCCTCCATCCCCGCGCAGGAGCGACCCTGCCGGCGCGGGGGCAGGCGCAGGGTGCGCGGGGGGGGACTCGGAGAGATGCGCGGAGGGATGGAGGAGTGCGCGGAGGGATGGAGAAATGCGTGGAGAGATGCTCGGAGGGACGGAGGAGTGCGCGGGGGGATGGAGGGGGAGCGGGGGTTGAAGGAGTGCGCGGAAGGATGGGGGGCGCGCAGAGGTGGAGGGTGCGCGGGGGAGATGGAAGGCGCGCAGGGAGGGATGAAGCGTTTGCGGGAGGGGATGGAAGGATGCGCAGAGGGCTGGAATGTTTGCCGGGGGATGGAGTGCTCGCGGGAGGGGATGGAAGGATGCGCAGAGGGCTGGAATGTTTGCCGGGGGATGGAGTGCTCGCGGGAGGGGATGGAAGGATGCGCAGAGGGCTGGAATGTTTGCCGGGGGATGGAGTGCTCGCGGGAGGGGATGGAAGGTGCGCGGAGGGCTCCGCGCAGGGGCGGCTCCACCGCCCGCTCCCCCCGCGGGGACGCGCTCGCCGCAGCGCAGGGGGCGGCCCCGCGGGTGGGGCCGGGGTGCGGGGCGGAGCGGGGGGCTGGGGGGTCCCCAAAACCCGTGCGGAGCCCCTGGGAGGCGATGCTTGAGCCGCAGTCTCGTACCCACGGACCGGAGCCCCCGGTGCTGCCGCAGCCCCCGGGCACCGGGGCCCCGTCTGGTGCCCACGGCAGCCCCGGTCCCCGACGTCCCCAGCTGCGGGGATTCACCCGCTGCAGCCCCAGGACATTTCCTTCTCCCGCCTTTGAAGCTTCCCGGCACCCCACAGCCTCAGAGCTGCTCCCGAGGGGCCGAGTGTCATTATCTCCTTCTGTTCACCACTGAGCTGGCACCTGCCCTGGCCGCACCCTCATGCCAGGCCTGGGGTGTGATGCCTCTCTGGCTCTCTCCGTGTGCCTTGCAGGTGACTCACCTGCCTGAGTTTGCCTTGTGCCACCCTGCTCTGAGCTGCTGACACTCGTCTAGCTCGTGTTTCTCTCCGTCCCACGGGCTGTGGTCTGCAGATGTGCTGCCACGTCATGAATTCCCTGTCCTGCAGCTGCACATCACAGAGCCCTGCCTACACACGGGCCAGCGTGTTTGACACCACCAAATAGTTTTGTTCTTTTTTCAGACCGCTGTGCCTGTTTGTTGACGTCATTGTTTTGTCAGGGTTTATGATCTGATCGTTCAGATCTGTCTGTCTTGTACACTCTGTTTTCGGTGGTTACATCCCATTGCTGTTTGTAGCACGTTGTTCTTATCTCAGCCTGTGTGATCTTTACTTTTTGTGCCTCCAGTTCTCTGCGTCCTGCCTCGGGGAAGGGTAGGGCTGTGAGCAATTGGTCTGGGATGTTTCAATGTGAACACTTAATTGGGAAATGTCATTCCTAAACCAGGACACCAGCACAATTTTGTTACCATGCAAATATGAGGGGTGAAGCCAGTGCAGAGGGTCACCCCTGCATCCATCCAGGCACTGCAAAGCTCCCCTCAGCTCTCCCCACATGCAGCCGTTTCATCAAAATCACAGGTGGAGAAATCAGGGCCTGGAAAACCAGGATCTGTGGCTTCTCCCTCTTCCCTTAGCAGGTTCATGTTGTGGCAGGAAACGGAGTCATGGTGCAGTGACCTGGCAGGGTCACAGTGCCATCAGGGTGCCACCAGGCTGGATCATCCAAGCTGGGGTGTGCCGAGCACAGGCCGTGCTTGTCCTTGTTCTTTGCCTCACAGCCAGCACCTGTCCCACCTGCAGCTGGGAACGCTGGACTCAAGCCTGGCCCTGCAGGAGGCTTCTGTGGCAGACTGGAGTGGCCAAGTCATGGCAGGGACAGTACTGGGAGCAGCCCCTGGAGTGGCCTCGGTGCCCAGGGACATGGAATGGTTGGAGGTAGAGAGATATTGATGGCATTACCCCGTTCACAAAGACAGTCACAGAATAAAGTCCCGCAGGGCTGTGCATACACAGGTGTTTGCTGTGATTCTGTGACTTCTCTGCTGTCTCTGGGAGCACCTGGCTATCCCACAATTTCCTTGGAGTAGGAGGTAAGCAGCCTCTAGTTCTCCATTTTCTGTCCTATCAAAGACATCACTCCTTTTTCCTGTCCTGTGAAAGCTCGCCCATCCCCTGTCCACTCCCCATATCGCCCTCTCTTATCCTCCGCCCATCGCCAGCGGGGGCACACGCCTGTGTCACACGTGTGCGCGCACGCGTTCACACTCATGCACACGCACACGGTCACATGCACGCGCACGGGTCCACACTCATGCACGCGCACGGGTTCACACACATGCACGCGCACGGGTTCACACTCATGCACGCGCACACAAGCGGGCACGCCCCGCCCCTGACACGCGCGGCTGCGCCGGCCCCGCGTCCGTCCGTCCGTCCGTCCGGTCCCCGCCCGGTGCCCGCCCCCGGTCCCCGCCCGGTCCCGGTCCCCGCCCGGTGCCCGCCCCAGCGGCGCGGGCGGAAGCGCTCGGGGATGGAGCCGCCGGCCATGGAGGGGCCGCTGCTGGTGCAGCACAGCCCCAAGTTCGGCGCTAAGGTGGGTCCGGGGATCCCCTCCTCCCTTTCCCTCTTTCCCTTCCCTTCTTCCCTTCCTCCCTTTTTCCCTTCCCTTCCTCCCTGCCCTCGGGCCGGCGGTTCCCCGGGGCCGCTGGCGGGGAGCGCTCCCGGCGCGGTGTGACCCCGCTCCCCGCAGCGCTGGAAGCGCGGCTGGTCCGCGCTCTACCCCGCCAGCCAGCACGGCGTGGCCCGGCTCGAGGTGTTCGACTGCAAGGAGCCGTCGGCGGCCGGGCGGGCGGGCACCCGGCGGCTCGCCCGTACCGTGGTTCGCCTCAGCGACTGCACCAGCGTGGCCCCGGTGGGCGAGGGCGGCCCCCGCGCTGGCACCGCCACCTTCCGCCTGGAGACCCGCGACCGCAGCTTCCTCTTCGCGGCCGAGAAGCAGCAGAGCGAGGAGTGGGTGGCGAAGCTGTGCCAGATCGCCTTCCCGGTGAGCCCCGGGGTGGGCGGGGGCTGCAGGGAGCCGGCGGCGGAGGGCACAGGGACATCGGTGTGGGTGACCCTTTCCCACCTGGCAGCTCGGGGAAGGACACCCTGAGACAGCGCCAATGCTCCCAGGTTTAAAGCGCCCGGCCCTGGCACTCCGGTGCCCTCTTGATGGCTCCTGCTGTGGTTTGTGGGACTCCTCAGCGTGTTGTCAATAACTCGTGGTTGTGGCCCCGAATTTCAAGTCGGGCTGTTCTCGCCCGCTGCAGAGCCCGTGCTCGCCCCTGCAGAGAGCTGGCGGGGTGCCAGGTGATGGCCGAGGAGCGTTTCCTCTTGGCCCAGCCACTGCTGCCTTTCCTGCCACAGCAGCGGCATCGAAGCGGAGCCTCGAGAGCGTTGTGGTGCCTGGCTGCGGGACCCGTCTGATTCCAGGACCTGGATCCCCCTTTCCCAGCCCTGGGGCTCACTCCTGGCTGCTGCTGGGGGCACCCCATCTGTGCTGGAACAGCTGTCCAGCCCCCTGTCCTCTGCGGGCCCTGGAGCTGATGCTCAGCCAGTGTGACCAGCCAAGGCTGTTCGGGCAGTGGGTGCCCTGAGAGTGTGGTTTCCATGTCCTCTGGGACAGCAGCCCACGCCTGCCCAGCTCCACAGTGCTGGCTCTCAGTCCCGTGAGGTGTTTGCAGAGCCCTGGGTTGGGCTGCAGCCGATTTCAGGCTTGGAGTGCTGGGCAGGGCTGCCTGGCAGGAGGACTGGGTGCACAGCTGGTGATCCCAGGATCTCCTCCTGACGGGTGTTTCCCGAGTGTGATTTACTTTTGTCCCTCATGCATCTCCCTGCAGTCTCCTGGCAGGCCAAGTGTGTCTGTGCAGCAGATGCCAGGGCTGATGGGGCTGGGAGGCACTGATGGAAATGACTCTGTGTCTCCTGGTGCAGTCAGGGTTGCAGCCTTTACCCTGAAAGCGGCTTTGTGGGGCTGAGCTGGGGACACAACAACACACCCTGGGAGTGGGGCAGGGTGGTGGCCAGGCCAGGGAGCACCTGCTTAGAGCAGGGCTGTGCTCATGCCATCCCTCTCATGGGAGCCAGCATTTGTGTGCCTGAGGTCCAGACGAGACCTGACAGTTCAGGAGGTTGTGAGCAAAAGGCTGGCATGTGTTTTAAAAAGGCCTGACCTGGAGCAGGAGGCACAAGAGCTGCACGTGGCCTTTCTGCACAGAGCTGGAGATCCTCAGCTGGGATTGCTGATCATCTGCATGGAGAATGTGATTTTGTGTCATGTTCCTGCCCAGAGGGTATTACAGCAGGGTCCAGCAGCTTGGGAGCTGGGACCAGAGATCATTTGGAGTTCAGAACAGATTTATTTTTTTTTTCTTTTGAAGATGAAGAAAAGTGCAGTCAAATGGAGCCTTAGAGGCTTCGGCAGATTTGGTGGCCCTTGTCTTTCCAATCCCAGGCTGGAGCCCTGCTGCCTTGGATGCTTTAGCTGAGGAGGAGCTGCTCCTTTCTGCTCTCAGGACATGAAGTTTTATGACCCATACACAAGGGCTGGATGGCCCTTTTTGGGCCTTGTTTGGCCTTGTTAAGAAGCTCATGTGTGTGGGTTTTAAACCGAAACTGTGGCACTTGCCTTGTGCAAGATGAACCCTCTGCTCCTGCCCCAAGGAGCAGCTCCTGGCCACACACTGAGCCTCCCTTGTGCCAGCTGCGCAGGGTTCGGTGAGGCTGTAATTTGTGAGGGGCTTTTCTGCAGGAGAATCTCTGAAGGCACAAGGCTTTGTGTCCTGCCCCATGCCCTTTGGGGGCCCTGCTGCTGGGACACAGTTCCTGAGAGCACGTTTGTTGCGTTTTCAGTTCTGCATGTGCTAAAATAGAAGCGCTTGCTTCCCCCCTGCAGGTTCCCCCTCCTCCTTGGCAGGGCAGGACACAGACCCCCGTGTTACCAGGCCATCAGCCCTGGTGTGGCCAGGAGGGTGTGTTTGGGTTGTGCCAGGCTTTGGGGGCAGCTCTCTGGGCTGTGCTGCCCTTCACCCCGACGGTGAAGAGCCCAGCTGGGGACAGGGTGTTGCTAAGAGCTCAGGGAAGTCCCCCCTGTGCTCCCTGGCCCTGTTCATCCGTGTTTGTGTGGGCTGAGGGGTTCTGTAGCCAGCTCTGGGGTGGGCAGGGTGCAGGACAGCCAGGCTGTGTGAGGCCAGGGAGGGCAGCAGGGCCCAGGCCATGCAAGGGGGCCTGGGGGCTGATGTGGGAAGAGGACTCTGGGTCTGATCTGCTCTCCTTTGCCAGGGAAAT